CGCACACACGCACACGCACACGCACACGCACACGCACACGCACACGCACACGCACACGCACACGCACACGCACACGCACACGCACACGCCACACACGCCCGCCTGCCCACCTGCCCACCTGCCCACGCCCACGCCCACGCCCACGCCCACGCCCACGCGCACGCGCACGCGCACGCGCACGCGCACGCGCACGCGCACGCGCACGCGCACACGCACATGGCGCTCAGTGGTCGTAGTCGTACATTGAGCAGTTTTGACAATGCGGGGAGGAGGATGTGTCGGTTAGTGGAATAGAGCGGGGTGGGGGGGGGCGTCTCTCGGCATTTTGCGGCCTGGCCTGTGACAGGCCCAGCGCGACGTCATCGAGATCCCTCTCGACACGCCGGCCGAGCCCGGAGGTCGGGGAGCAAGGGCGGGTTCCTCAGTGCGCGCACGCGCACACGCACACGCAAACGCACACTCTCACACACATACGCACACGCACCCGCACACGCACCCGCACACACACGCACACGCACACGCACACGCACACGCCAGCGCGCAGACGCACACGCACACGCACACGCACACGCGCACGCACACACGCGCACAAGCACACACGCACACACACGCACGCACACACGCACACACGCACACACGCACACACGCACTCGCGCGCACGCGCAGACGCGCACACTTTACGCGACAGAGGCAGGGCTCGGGCGAGCTATTCAGACTGCTCGGGGCGTGGCTGCCCGTGAGCCAGCGCCTCGAGCTTATAGCGTAGTGTTCGGCCCGATCAGCACCAGCGCTACAGAGCCGATGGCGAGGGTACCCTGCGGCTGGTTCGGCCGACATGTGGTCTTTACCCATCGGTCGAAAGAGGTCGTGGCGGCCGCCTGCACCCGACGAGTGCAGCATGTGGAATACCATTCCGGTCGCCCCAATATTCGCCACCGTGCCCTTGGGCACGGAGTGGGCATGTCCGCAGCTCCTTTACATGATCCCCTGAGCCTCAGGCCTCGGTCTTGAAGAATCTTTTAGGGGCCCGGACGCGAGCTTGCCATATGTTCTTGGGCTTGGCGCGGCTTATCGCATGCACTTTTCCGGGGCCAAGAGGGCCCCAAGACGGGCCAAGAAAACCTCAAGAGGCCCCCAAGACGGTCCAAGGGGGCCCTGAATCGCCGAAGGATCGCTTGAAGACCCCAGAGATGGCCTCAAGATGGCCGCCGAAGCCTCCAAGACGCCCTTGAGGCCTCCACGAACACTCCCATGAGGGCCCCAGCATGCAACATTCATTGACTTTCTAGTGTTGTCCTTAGGTTTTTGAAGGATTTTAGCGTTCGCGCCTTTTCGGCTCCACGACGCTCCAAGACGGCCCAAAAGGCCCCACAAATCGCCCCCAGACGGCCCAAGAGGCACCCAAAAGACGGCAGAGACGGCTCAGAAGTGTAGTAGCGCAGGCATGTAATACGGAAGTAAGAGGCCTCTGCGTAGGCAGAGGTATCACTGCAAGGGTCCTTGCGATATTGCATAGTTATGTACACTCTTCCGCGCGAACCCACTGCACCTGGATGTTCCACCACGTCAGTTGTCCACCAGGTAGTGCCGTGCATGGTGAGGAGTAGAGCTTGAGCTGACCACCATAGGCCAGCTCCGCTACCGAGTTTGAAATGGGTTGGGAGGCCCAACCAGCAGCTTCGCCTTAGGCGAAGCCCAGCTCCCGCTCTGGTGTACCGTAGTAACGATAGTCCCAGTAGTAGGGGGCGAGCCATCTCAAGCAGTTTTGGTATCGATGGCAAATGATACACCTCGCGCTGAGGTGTAGTCAAATCTGGGCGGCCGGCCGCTTTGAGCCAAGCGGCCGCGGGCGCACGATCGTTCCCGCTCACATGTATCCCCAGCTCACTTTAGAGTCAAGAAGCCTCCAAGACGGCTCAAGAGGCCTCCAAGAGGTCCTCAAGGAGCGCCCGAGGAGACCAACATCGCTGATTTTCCTAGGTTTGTGAAGGATGTTGGCATTTGTTTCTTCACGGCATCCCGACGGCTGAAGATGGCCCAAGAGGCCTCCAAGATGGCCCCATGACGGCCCAAGAGGCCCCAAGACGGACCCAAGAGGCCCCCAAGAGGCCTTCAAGACGGCCAAGGTGGCCTCCAAGACGGCTAAGGTGGCCCCAAGCTGCCTCCAAGACGGCCCAAGATGCACCCAAGACGGCCTGAGATGGCCTCAAGATGGCCCAAGACGGCCCGAAAGGCCCCCAAGAGGCCTCAAAGACGGGCCAAAAGGCGTCGAGGAGGTCTTCCAGGAGGGCACGAAGAGGCCACGATCATCGAGTTCCCAAAGATGATTGAAAGATTTTGGCATTTGCTTCTTCTCAGCACTTCGACGGCTCAAGACGGTCCAAGGGGCCCCCAAGATCGCCCAAGAGGCCTCCGATATGGCCCCATGACGGCCCCCAAAGCCCCAAGACGGCCCCAAGAGGGCCCCACAACGGCCCAAAAGGCCTCCAAGACGCCCAAGATGGCCTCTAAGAACCACTGATATGCGCCAAGAGGGCCCCAAGACGAGCCAGACAGGCCCCCACGACAGCTTCCGACGGCGTCAGACAAGCCAGGAACGCCCTAAGACGGCCAAAGAGGCCCCCAAGAAGCCTCCAAAGGCCCCCCAAAACCTTTCAAGAGGCCCCCAGGAAGCTCCCAGGAGGCCCCAAGAGTGCACCAAGAGGCGCCCAAGAGGCCTCCTCCTCCCCCTCCTGCTCATTATTCTCATCCTCTTCCTCCTCTTCTTGCTCCCCCATGCGTTCCCCGAAGTCTTTCCAAACCGACTCGGGGAACAAGTGGCCCGATAGCTTGGCCAAGCTCTGGCCCAGCTGTCGACCCTCCTCTCCCAACGTGTTCCCCGAACGCTTTCCAAACAGATTCGGGGAACACACGGTCCGATAGCTTGGCAGGCCTCTGGCCACCACGTTCGGCCACACAGGTGCTTCCAAAAGGGCACGGGGCGCCGGTGACTCGCCGAAGGCGTCTTCGATCCGCCGCCCTCTGGGGTGCCACAGGGGTGCCACAGGGCTGCTCGGCGTGTATCGGGGGAAAACAAACCTGCCTCGCTTTTGACCACCCTCGCTTCCAAGAGATACCAAACAATGCCAAATTGCGGCCTGTACTGGTCAGGCCGCTTGAGGAGGAGGCGCGTGGTATGGCTTGGTTGTGCCTGGAAGCGAAAGCGGGGGAGGTAATTCACGCTCTGAGTGTACCAAAAAAATGTTGTTGGATTGTCCTGAAGCCTTCCCCTGGGCCTTCGGCCCATGGCGCCGGCCCACCCAGAACCACCCACTTTCCTACATGGCCTTTCCCGCTCCTGCACGGCCTGAGATGCACCACGGATGGAGCGTGAGTGATGTTTTACAGAGGGGTCCTCGCTGTAGCGCCGCGCACATTCGTCTTAAGAGCTTGCAGCAGCTTCGCGGATGGAGGGCGCACACGTTCAACATGTGGCTCTCGCCTTTTATCGCCGCGCCCATTCCCCTTCAAACATTGCAATACTTTCATGGCTGAAGAGCGGTTCCTTTCCAAAATGTGGGGGTTGCCTTAGCGCCGCTCACATTCGTCTCAAGAGTTTAGTTGATGTCCCCAACATCGTGCCTCGGCACGATTTAAGACTGTCATGGCGCGACAGTCACATTGATTCGCGGAGTTGACGTCCCAAATAATGGAGTTCTTGCGTGATTCAGGATCGCAGCAATAGCGTTGATTCGCGACATCGATATCCCGAGAATGGCTCTCTGGCACGGTTCAGGATTTTCAGACGGTTGTCTAACGGGCCACATTTCTCAGTGAAGGGGAATCCTTCTAGTGACTTTTAAAGGAGGGAATTTGGAGTGGCGGGTTATTGCAACATCGTTGGTGAATCTTGGGTTCACACTGATCCCCCGCCACGTCCTTTTCCTCCAACTCTTCCTCCTCCTCCTCCTCCTCCTCCTCCTCCTCCTCCCCCTCCCCCTCCTCCTCCTCCTCCTCCTCCTCCTCCTCCTTTTCCTCCTTTTCCTCCTCCTCCTCCTCCTCCTCCTCCCCAGAGTTGGGCGGCGGCCTGGGAGATCTCGGCGCCCCGCTTCATAGTGCACGTCTTCTTGCTGGGAATGAAGATCACCTTGACGGGGCCGCTGTTGTAGTAGCGGACCTTGTTCATCCACGCCCTCCTCCTCCCTCTTCATCCTGGACGTGACTCCTCGTTCTCATCCACCCCCTCCTCCTCATTTCTCATCTCCCCCTGCCCCCCTTCTCCTCTTCCTACTCCTCGTCTAACAGTCGGCCACCGCTTCCCCTCTTCCTCTTCCAGCTCCACCTCCTCCACCCTCCACCTTCCTCCCCCTTCAACATCGGCACCATATCCAACCTTCTCCGCCGCTCAAAATAGCAGCGGACAACTCCGTCCTTCCCCTCATCCGACTGCTCTCTCTTTCTCCGCCTCCTCCTCTTTCCGCCTATCCTCTGCCTTGTTTGTATTCGTGCGACTTCTGCTGGTACTCCTTCACTTCCCCTTCTTCGAAAGCATGCGCCGGGATCGCTACTCTAGAGACCCTGGGCCGACCCCCAATGTTTACCCAGAAAGCTGTTCTTCCGCGCCCCTGGGCGGTCCAAGAATCGCGAATGGTCAAGGCTGCTTAGATTCCTCAAGAGTCCCAACATAGCATGCGGGACTAGTCCTGGGCCCGCGAAAGATCCTGCAAGATTCCGGCGGACTTCTTGAGAACCGTGGGATCGCCAATGAAATCCCTGCGATCCCCAATGATTTCAATGCCGATCCCAGGATAATGTTTCGCATCCCTGGGGATCGATTCCCAACGGTTTCAGTGGTAATCCCAAGTGAACCCACGTTGGGCAAATTCCTCAAGGTTCCAACTGAATCCCAGTGACTGATGTTCACGATGACGAACATGGTGGCGAAGATTGTGTCCATCATGGTAATGAGGGTAGGCGGGAGAGGAGGAGATTTGAGATGGCGGCACTTGAGCAGCGAGAGGGGGGACGGTAACACGAAAACCCCACCTGACCTCTGGAGTGAAGGTGGCACAGAACCGTCTCCCGTGTTTCCCCGCGCAATCCTGGAACCCCAGACGATGTGGCGGTGTCGTCGCCATCAACGTCGTCAACGTCTTCGTCGCTACCCTCCTACCCCTGAACATCCTCATCATGGTCCTCCTCTGCTTTTGCTCCTCTCCCTCCTCCTCCTGCTCCTGCTCTTACTTGTTTGATGAATGTATGTTGTTTCTCTTTTGCCGTTCCGTCCGCTCCTCAATCCTGCTTCTCCCCTCCTCGCGCCCAGGCCCACGCAGTGCGACCAAGGCGCTGGCGCGGCTTCCCCTGGCAAACTGAGAGAATCCTCAGCCGCCAGTCCTCGACGCAGCGCCCCCCGCAGCGTGCACAACGAATCACGACCTCTGCGTCCCAAAACTGGCTCACCAAGGCGACTACGGAGAGGCCCGCAAGAAGGCTCGAGCCTTCTCAGCGACCCTGGTTCTTCTCAAATCGGCCCAGAGCGTTTTGCTGTTGCTGTTGTGCGTCGGAGCGCCAAAGCAACGTTGATGTTGGGCGTTACCAGACGTGTTTTTTCCCGCCTTGACATATCACTTGGTTGCATCCCTAACGCTGCTGTCTACAACGTCCTAAGCTCCTTCTCCTGGTGCGCAGCCCTCCTTATCTTTCTTTTATCATTGCGACTGTTTCCTGTGCCTTTCGCCTGCCCTCGCTGCTGGCTGGGGCGTCGGGCCTCCCGGCCCGACGGCCGACTGCCCCTGCCGAGGCCATCTGGCCTCTGGGCCTGCTTCGGGCTGGCGTTGGGCTGGTGTTAGAGCCTTGGGTTTGGTTTTGGCCCGAGGAGGGAGAGAAGGTCAGCAGGGATGGCAAGGAACAGCATCCGACCAGAAAACAAAACAAGCGCTGAACAAGTGATGATCCACAACGACGCCCCCCAAAACGCGGAGACGGAGGACACTAAAAACGCTAGAACAGCGTCGCAATGTTGTTGGCGTTTCTGGCTTGACAAGAGCGCAGAGTGCAAAACGGTTAGACAACAAAAAACGCCCAAGGCGTGTCGACAAGAACCAAGTCAAGGACGGTTGGAGGTGACAAGGGGGCAGCCACCGCAGCCTGTGGTCCGTTGTGGTGGGGGGGCACCCAATTTCGCTGTGCAGTACAACTTGTGTCTTTTGACGGCGTGGGGCGCCAGCTGAACGACTTGCTCGTGTGGGCCTCTGGAAATACGTAGTACCCCGCAGTTGCGGATAAGAGCTAGGGGGCGGCGAGGACGTCGGCAGTCTGCAATATTCTGAAGAAGCCAGCCGCAGGCGCCTGATTTTTACCAATTGTGCTGTGAGCCCTTCGTAGGCGCCGATGTCTTCGTCAAAACAATGTGGGTGGGTCGCAAGGTGTGTCGCGGGCTGGATCGCGGGCTGGGTCGCGGGTGGGTCGCGGGTGGGTCGCCGTTGGGTCGCCGGGCGGGTCGCGGGGTGGATCACGGGATGGGTCGCGGGGTGGGCGCGGGGTGGGTCGCGGGTGGGTCGCAAGCGGGTCGCGGGGTGGGTCGCGGGTGGGTCGCGGGGTGGGTCGCAAGGTAGGTCGCGGGTGGGTCGCGGGAGGGTCGCGGGTGGGTCACGGGGTGGGTCGCCGATGGGACGCGGGCCCGGTCGCGGGGGGGACGAAGTCGAACAACAACAACAACAACAATCACTTTACCCGAACGCTCAGTGTTCTCACCTGTGCCAGGGTTTTCATGCGACGCCAGCCAATACCCCCACTTTGTGGGGGGGCAGTGCAAGCTCTACCAAATATCCACACGACTCTTCGCCACCACCCACACCCAGCTTCCCGCCCTATGACGTTCGGACACTTCACTTCGTGGCCTGCGGACGACCGTGGCTACTACACTGGCGTGGAGTACACACCCACAGAAGTTGTTAGGACAGCGCGCGCGGGTAGAAATTTTGAAAAGTCGTGCAGGTGTTTTTCGAGGACCTACGGTGCGATTCGTGTGATTTTATGATGCGCGGTGCTAAAATTCTTAAGAAGCCCAATGGTTTTTGGAGATTTCGGCGTGCGCGCGCGAAGAAAAAACGAATGTGTCCCGCATGGTATTATTTGACAGGGATGATGGCCCTGGCAGGTGCGCAACCGTTGTCGCAGAAGTTCGAAAAAGTTGCTCGCAAAAGCCCGTTTGACAGAAATGTTTAAAAAGTGTTGGGTTTCCTACGAATCCGCAAGAGCGCGCGGGATGAGATTTTGACATTTTTTTGTTGAAAAACCATTGGTTTTTTGATGTTTTTATGTTAAAATCGCTCCGAACACTAAGCTTTTGGAAGGATTTCGTCTTGCGCGCGCGAATGTCCACTTTACCTTATTTTTTGCAAGGGATTCTTGAAATTTGATTATATTAGAACAAGAAATGTCATTTTATAGTGTTTTTTGCAAGGGAAAACGGATTACAACAAAACAACCGGATCTTGATCACATCGTATTACCTGAGGCTTCCTCACGAAAATGATGAAAATGTAGCTGCGGCCTAGGCGGCGCAGGGGGGCCGTGCACCAGGGGTCCCAACAATAATTATTCTTTAGAATTAATAATGTTCAACAACAACAACAACAACAACAACAACAACAACAACAACAACAACAACGACAACAACAACAAACAACAACAAACAAACAACAACAACAACAACAACAACAACAACAAACAACAACCAACAACAACAACAAACCAACAACCAACAACCAACAACCAACAACCAACAACCAACAACCAACAACCAACAACCAACAACCAACAACCAACAACCAACAACAACAACAACACCAACAACAACAACAACAACACCAACAACACCAATAACACCAACAACACCAACAACACCAACAACAACAATAACAACAACAATCACAACAACAAGAACAACAACAAAAACAACACCAACAACACCACCAACAACAGCAACAGTCACAACAACAACAACAACAACACCAACAACAACGACAAAAACAATCATTTAAGACTGTTCGCACTTGACTGCTCGAGTGTCCTTTAACGCAAATTTCCCAAACCCTCGATACCCGCCCTCTTCGTCTTCGATCGAACCCCTTTTGAGGGGTATGTCTTCCTTCCCAGCAGGCTGGGCCCCGGCAAGCGGCGGGGCGGCCGCGGACCGTCGGCCTGGCCAGCGGCAGCGCTGATCGGCGTGGCGGCCGCGGACCGTCGACCCGACCCCAAGAGGGACGGACAGGGGACCGACCACGACGACGACGACGACGACGACGACGACGACGAGTTAGACGACGACGGCGACGACGACGACGACGGCGACGACGAGCGAAAGCGAGAGCGAGAGAGAACGACAGCAGGGCCACGAAGGACACGAAGTAGGCCACGAAGGGCGGCAGCGGGGACACGAAGGGAATTCGTATGGGGCCACGAAGAGCGCGAACGAGCGGGGGCCACGAATGGCAGATCATGCGGGGCCACAGAAGGCAACGATGGGGCCACTGATCGGGCGTTGGCAGAACTGGGTTTAGTGGAACTTGGTTTAGTGATGTGTACTGGGGGACGCCCCCCCGCCCCGTTCCACTAACCGGAACTGCCGTCACCCGAAAAAAACACCAGCTGCGGCAGACCTGGTTTAGTGATTCTGGCCAATTCAAAGGCTCCCGGGCACTACCACCAACCGGGTCCCCTTACCTGGGGTCCTGGCTATACCCGAACTGAGGGTAGCAAAACTGGGCCACGTAGGACAGTGAGGGGGCCACAAACGGCGACAGCGGGGCCACGAAGGGCATGCACATAGGGCCACAACGGGCGCGACTCCTGGGTGCCTGGGAGTCGGGAGCGCGGCGCTTGACAACATTGCAAGAAATTCCAACGCAAGGGCGCTATTCTTCAGTAAATTGCAAGCAAGTCTCCAGCGAGAGCGCGACTCCAGAGCGCCGGGAGAGCGATTCCTGAATCAATTGTAAGGAAGTCCCTAGCGAAAGCGCGATTCCTGAATAAAATGCGAGGAAGTCTCGGGCGGGAGCGGGGGTCCTGGCTAAACTGTGGGGAAGTCTCATGCGGGAGCCGTTGTTGTAACCCAGGGGCCAGGGGCGCAGTTTGAGCATCAACAATTCCCTTGTCCAAAAAAACAAAGTCCGAGCGTCGAGGGGCACACTTTGATTGAGAAAAAAAGCATGCACCGGTGAGGGGGGATCAACAATAATTATTCTTCAGAAATGAAAGTTCAACAACAACAACAACAACAACAACAACAACAACAATCATTTAAGACTGGGGACACTCCGTTCTCACCAGTGCCAGGGTTTTCATAGGAGGCGGGCAATACCCCCACTTTGTGGGGGGGCCGGTTCAAGCTCTACCAAATTTCCAAACGACTCTTCGCCACCACCCACACCCAGCTTCCCGCCCTATGACGTTCGGACACTTCACTTCGTGGCATGCGGACGACCGTGGCTACTATTCAGGGCCCCGCGGCCGACGACGACGGCGTGCGCGCGCGAAGAAAAAACGAATGTGTCCCGCATGGTATTATTTGACAGGGATGATGGCCCTGGCAGGTGCGCAACCGTTGTCGCAGAAGTTCGAAAAAGTTGCTCGCAAAAGCCCGTTTGACAGAAATGTTTAAAAAGTGTTGGGTTTCCTACGAATCCGCAAGAGCGCGCGGGATGAGATTTTGACATTTTTTTGTTGAAAAACCATTGGTTTTTTGATGTTTTTATGTTAAAATCGCTGCGAACACTAAGGTTTTGGAAGGATTTCGTCTTGCGCGCGCGAATGTCCACTTTACCTTATTTTTTGCAAGGGATTCTTGAAATTTGATTATATTAGAACAAGAAATGTCATTTTATAGTGTTTTTTGCAAGGGAAAACGGATTACAACAAAACAACCGGATCTGACCCCATCCACTTTTCTGAAGCTTTCGCGAAAAAATGATGAAAATGTAGCTGCGGCCTAGGCGCGGCGGGGGGGCCGTGCACCAGGGGTCCCAACAATAATTATTCTTTAGAATTAATAATGTTCAACAACAACAACAACAACAACAACAACAACAACAACAGCAGCAACAACAACAACAACAACAGCACCAACACCACCAACAACAACACCAACACCACCAACACCAACACCAACACCAACAACAACACCACCACAAACAACATCAACAACAACAGCATCAACAACAACAACACCAACACCAACACCAACATCGACAACAACACCACCAACAACAACAACAGCAGCAACAGAAACCGCAGCAACAACAACAACACCACCAACAACAACGATAATGTGCATCGCGGAATCCCACTTAAGCCACGCACCCAGGGACAATGAATGACCGTTCGGCCCCCTCACTCTGACCTAATGGGCCTCCGCCGCGATGGGACGTTATCAGTTGGCGGTGTTCCGCTAAGCCACGCTCCAAACGCAACCCTCGCTGAACAGCTTCCCATATACGTAGCACCACGCAATTGCGGATCAGAGTGAGGAGGCGACGGGGGAGTCCGAAATCTGCGAGGCTCTGAGGAAGCCCGCCGCAGGCGCCGAATTGGAAGATGCAACGAATCCGCCGCAAGCGCATCTTCGTTAGAACAACGTGGGTGGGTCGCGGGTGGGTCGCAAGCGGGTAGCGGGGTGGGTCGTGGGTGGGTCGGGGGTGGGTCGCGGGTGGGTCGCGAGTGGGTCGCGGGGTGGGTCGCGGGTGGGTCGCGGGTGGGTCGCGGGTGGGTCGCGGATGGGTCGCGGCTGGATCGCTGGAAGGTCGCGGGTAGGTCGCGGGTGGGGTCGAGGGGGGACGACGACAACAAAAACAGCGCAACAACACCACCACCACCAACAACAAGCAGAATCCGTGCCGCGGAATCCCACTTCAGCCACGCACCTGAGGACAATGAATGACCCTGCGGCCCCCTCACTGTGATACGTGTTCCTCGGATGGCATTCGAATCCGATCGCCCGCCGACAACTGCCAAACGGTAAAAATCTGACACAGCCCGTCCCGAACACGGCATCTGGATTGCGACATGCGGGCCGTCTGGCCTTCCTGCCCGCCGCAATCCGAACACTGTTGGCATCGGCCACGGGCCGCAACTGGTGCGACACAGTACACCCTGCGAAATGCTTAAGAAATCATGGGTTAAGAAACTCAGAGTCTGAGAATTTGAATACAAACCCAGAACGTCGATCAAAATCTTAGGATTTACATTGAAACATTAAGAATAATCGAGACTCTCGCCGAAAACTTAAGTTTTCTTAAGCATCGCCTAAGGTGTACAGCAACAGGGGAGGAGAGGGAAGAGGAGACGGATGCGGACGATCGTGGCGGAAAGGGAGGGCAGACGGGGCGAGCGGGCAAGGGCCGTGGAGATGGAAACGACCAGCACGCGCGAGCGGCGCGCACGAACGGGGCCCGAACAGCACGCAGCGTGCACGACCCCACGCTCGCGGCAGTACCCCCCCGGGGGGACTGGTGACCTCCACGCCTTCCTCCCGCCATGGATCCTCCTCCTCCTCTTCCCTGCCCGAAAGTCGCTCCTCGGCCACCCCCCGCTCTTTCTGGCCGCCTCAGATTCCCCGTCTCCTCCTCTTCTCCCAGGCGGCAATCGCTGATGCTTGAATGCAGGGGGGCGGGCGTCGCCTGTTTACCCAGGCCATCGTCTCTGGGGGGAGTGCACGGCGCCCGTGGATAAGAATGTAGGGTGCGCCCTGGGTCACTCGGCCACCATGCCCGCCTGGGATAAACAGGTAGGGCGCAGATTCCGGGTAAACAGGTTGAGCCTGCACTTGTGGAAGCCAACTTCCCCTGAGGCTCCCGCTGGGGGTAAGCAGGCACCCGGCGATTAGTTTGGGGTTGACGAGGGGGGAGTGGTGGTAGGCTTGGTTTCCACCGCCACCATGATAAGTAGGAGGGGGAGGGGGTCCTCCTCCTCCTTATCCTTCACCTTCTCCCCCCCTCCAACTTACGGTGGTGGTGGAAAACGGGGGGCGAACAGGTACTTGCCCTACCTGTAGTGCCCCGACGAGGTGTGGCCCCGGCTGGGGCAGGGGCCGGCCACGAGCGGCCGCGCACGGAGGGGGCGAAGGGAGGAACGCCCAGCACCCCCGGCACTCTGCGGACAGGAGTGCGAGCACGGTGGCGCAGGACGCTCTCTGCGTCACGAAGGGGGAGAGAGAGACAGAGAGAGACAGAGAGAGAGAGAGAGAGAGACATCTATATATATACATATATATACACACATGTATGCACCGACGCCCTCCGACGAACTAGGCGCATAACTTCAGGGAGGGCGGCGGTGTAGAAGGCCGCTGGCTCCCAGTGGTGACTTGTACACCGCCACCTTCCTCTTAGGCCCAGGAACAGTCCATTGGAGGGTGTCTGTGTATATATACATACATATACGAATGTACATAATTATAATGTATACACATACATGTATATATATGTATATATATACATATATATATATATATATATATATATATGGCGGACTTCCGCCCTGGACCCCTCGCATATGACCCCCTGCCCGAGACAGGACCCCTCATCGAGCAGAAACGGGCCCACAACGCCCACGCACGCCCATACTGCCCGGCCCGCCGACTCTGGCAAGGGGAGGGGGGGGGAATAAGCTCCCCCCCATCCTCCTCCTCCTAATCCTGCAGCGACGCGGAAAACTGCGGACAATGACCCCCAGCGATGAGGACGTTAACGGCGACGCCGACGACCGAAGACCACAACTGCAACCAAGACGTCGACGACGACGACGACGACGACCACTGGCGGCGGCGATTGCCGGCGGCGCACCAACGTCAGCGTCACAGAGTCGCCCTCGGACTCCTTGACCATCGGGCCGACCACGTCGAGGGACCTCGGCGCGGTCACCCAGGGTGGTCGTCGACGTGGTCGCCTCCCGCCGTCGTCGTTGTCAGTCGTCGTCGTCCGTGGTCGCCGTCGTCCGTCGTCAACATTTAGGCGGTGGTGGTCGGCAACGTCGCTGATCGCGGGCTGCCGGTCGGTCGCCGGTCGCGGGTCGCCAGTCGCCGCCGTCGTCGTCGTCGTCGTCGTCGTCGTCGTCGTCGTCGTCGTCGTCGTCGTCGTCGTCGTCGTCGTCGTCGTCGTCGTCGTCGTCGCCGACATCGTCGTCGTCGTCGTCGTTTTCGTCGGATGTCGTCGCGGTCGTCGTAGCCATCGCCGCCGGCCGCCTTCCTCCCTCTCGTCCTTGCCTCGAGCTTCCTCATCCACTTCGGCCTGCTCCTCCTTCCAGAAGAAAGAGAGCGTAAGCCGTCGAGAATAGGCGAAACTCGACGACGGTCATTGAACCAACGGGAACCGTTGAACCCATCGACTGAACGAAACCGACGACGACGAGAACGAAGGCGACGACGACACGCCCGAGGCGAACGCAGCCGTGGCCACGAAGAGGTTCGGAGAAAAGGCCAGAACTGTCAAATAACCTCTCAAAGCTCGGCCCTCGAACCTTGAGGGGAGCGCAGTCATCGTGCTGCTACAAAGGGCGTTGACTAAGGAACGGAGGGGAGTCTCTTGCCACGGCGAGCCTGGGCCACGAAGAGGCTCCCCGACCCAAATATGAGGATCGGCCCGAAAGCCGGCGCCAGTCCTCAACCCGAGGTGGCTGTCATCCCAGCGACTTGGCTGTGCTCCTCCTGTGCGCTGTGCGCAGTATACGCCGATGGCATGCGTGCCAGGATGAGGGGCGCTGCCGTCTCCCCTCCCTGCGGAAGCTGCCGCTGGGCAGGGGCTGGATCACACCATGATGTGTGTACACCCTGCGAAATGCTTAAGAAATCATGGGTTAAGAAATTCATAGTCTCAGAATTTGAATAAAAACCCAGAACTTCTATTAAAATCATAGGATTCACATTGAAACATTAAGAATAATCGAGACTCTGGCCGAAAACTTAGGTTTTCTTAAGCATCGCCTAAGGTGTACCATGGCCGGAAATGAAGCACCAGGGGCAGAGGCAGGGCTCTCCAGGGGAGCGGGTCAGCTGAACCCTTCCCTCCCCCCCTGGGGGGAGAAGACGGAGAAAACGAATGCCCTCCTCCCTCCATGCTAAAAAATGCGGCAGGCGTCCTTTGGCATTGCCGCACGCTCCCCTGCCTTTGGCCGCGACTGGCGCTCTCGGCATGCGTAGATAGGGGGCAAACAAACCTACCTCGCTTTTGACCACCCTCGCTTCCAAGAGATACCAAACGATGCCACACTACGGCCTGTACTGGTCAGGCCGCTTGACGAGGAGGCGCGTGGTATGACTTGGTTTTGCCTGGAAGCGAAAGCGGGGTGGGTAATTCACGCTCCGAGTAGAGGCAGCCGTGGCAGTGCCTCACTGCCGCCATCCGCTCCGATGCGAGCGGACGGCGCGCCGCTCCGCTCCGCGGGGCGGGAGGCTCCGCAAGAGGCTCGGGACGCGGACGCCGGGGGGCCGAGAAGCGGATAACCACGTCGGACCGAAGCGTGGCGGGCCAGAAACGGCGGAGCCACACGCCATCCAGAAGCTCCTGACCGCACTCCCATTTTGATCAGGGGGACGTAAGACCTGGGTACAGGGGACTCGGAAATCCCCGACGAGGTCGTCAAAAAAATGACGAGGCCGAGCCTGCATTTTGACGAGTCCTCCCGCTGCAGACATCCCACGAACTCCTCCTCGTCAAAATCCGAGGCGCGGTCGTCAAAAAACGATGGCGAACCCGAGTCCTGGCAAACCCAGATCTTACGCTCCCCCGATTTGAGGACGGTGCGCAGACCTGACCGCGGCCCGCGACGACGAGCACGAGGGCTTGCCATGAAGGACTGCACGAGACGTGCCGCTGCACCAAAAAAGACGACGAGAACGAAGGCGTCGACGCGGCCCGCGGGGCTCGGCGGACCGTGGCGCACCGGCGGGCGAGCGCGGGAGGGCAGCCGGCGGGCCGAGCGGGGGGCTTGCCCTCCACGCTGGTGCCGTTCACGGCCACGACCTCTGGCGCTCCCGCGCGGCGCATGCTGGGAGGCCAGCGCGGTCCTCCCTGCCGGCGTCTCCCGACTCCTTCCCCGCCGCCGCCTCCGCCTCCTTCCGTCTCCTCGTGGCACCCTGCCCCCCACCCCCCCCTCCTCCCAACCCTCTTCCTTTCCCTTCCGTCTCCTCCTCCTCCTCCTCCTCCTCCTCCTCTCCTCCTCCTCCCTCCTCCTCCTCCTCCTCCCCCTCCCCCTCCCCCTCCCCCTCCTCCTTCCCCCGCCCCCCCTGCCTCCTCCTCCCGCCCCCTCCCCATCCTCCCCCTCCCTCTCCCGACTCGACGGCAACGACCACAGGGCGCCAAGGGTGCCCCGTCGCCGCCTGCCGACGACGGCGACTGCGGCGGCGACCACGACCGCGCCTCGCGGCCGCCCCAAGCTGTCCGCTGTCCAGGTCGAGCCTCTCCCCCCCGTTGCGGAAGCCATCGGGGATGAGGATGGGGATTCGGGGCTCTCTCCTCCTCTCAACCTGCATCCTCGGGTCCCGGTCGGCAGCCTGCCGATCGGCTCTCTGCCGCTCGTGCCAGTCTGCGTCAGGAGGAGGAGGAGGAGCGTCAGCATTCGGGAGTTCAGAACTCAGGCTCTGCTTCTGTTCCAGACATCTCCTCGCCGTCGCTCGGACGTCTGGTCCCCGTGCATGTATGAGCTTCGCGCGTGCACTGTCTCGCCAGGTGAACCGGCAAGCACCTCGATTGCCAACGCCGAGAGACCTGCACACGTCCGAGAGGTGGCGAGACTCTGGCTGGCCCCACTCGGGGGTCAGCCTCTCCGAGAGAACTCTGCCGGGCCGTCTGCCTCGCCCTCCGCCGTGGCCGTGTCCTCTGCTGCGGGCCCCTTTTCCGAGGAGCAGCCAGGGCCTCTGGCTCTGGAGTAAGGCGCCGCTCCTCAGCGTGTGCTCTGGTGCAGGAGTCACGCTGCTAAACAAACTCCTCCTCCTTCGAGGAGGAGGAGGGGGAGAAGGAGAAGGAGGAGGAGGAGGAGGAGGGGGAGGAGAAGGAGGAGACGGAGGCCAAGGAGGAGGGCGACGACGTCGACGGCGAGAGCAAGGAGCATGGAGGAGGACGTCGACGACGAGAGCGGGGAGGATGCCGGAAGGAGAGGACGACGACGACGACGTCGACGACGATGGGGACGCCGACGCCGACGCCGACGCCGACGCCGACGACGCCGACGCCGACGCCGACGCCGACGACGCCGACGCCGCCGCCGACGACGGCGGCGACGAGGCGCCTCGTCGCCCTCCAGCACGAACATGCCTGGATGGCTCTCGAGCAGCACCTGGCGGCCAGCCCGGGCGGCGGAGCGCGAGGGGGCTCGGGGGCGTGCGGGGGAGGGAGGGGGGGGGGGGCCAGTCGGGGGAGGAGGAGGAGAGGAGGAATGGGGGGACCAAGGAGGAGGAGGAGGAGGAGGAGGAGGAGGAGGAGGAGGAGGAGGAGGAGGGGGGAAGGGGAGAGGAAGGAAGGGAAGAAGGAGGAGGACCAGCGTAAACCCAAGAGTCATCAACGATGTTGCCAAACACCCTCCCTCAGAGCTCCCCTTCCATAGGCCCCTACAAAGGGTCCATTTCCGCTGAGGGAACTGCCTCGTTGGAGTTGGAGGGCAACCGTATGAAGACCCTGAAGCATGCCAGCACATTATTCGCGGGACTCCAACGCCACGGATCAGCTTGACTGTTGCGTCTTGACGACGCTGAATCTTGCCAAAACGCCGTTCCTGGGACATCATCACCGCGAATCAGCGAACATGCTACACCCTCATAGACCTGAACCTCTCCTGAACGCATTTCTGGTACGCTGATGATGAGAATGCGCGAAGCTCGTGCGCATTGTTGCAACGAGTGTCCGCGGCGCCAGGGCGAGAGCCACATTTCGGAAAGGAGCCGCCATCGATCTGTGAAACGTCTGCAGATAGTCAAAGCGAATGCGCGCGGCGCCTGGGCGAGAGCCACGTGTTGAAAGGAACCGCCCTCAATCTGTGAAACCCTTGCAAAAATTTAAAACGACTGTGCGCGGCGCTTGGGCGAGAACCACATGTTGAGAACAACCCGCCCTCAATCCGTCAAGCTCTTGCGAATGCTTAGAACGAATGTGCGAGCCGCTACGGCGAGAGCCACATTTTGAAAACGGCCCGCCCTCCATCTGTGAATATTTGTGTCAATGTGTAAGCTTCAGTGCCATTCAATGGTGAGGAGGTCTCAGGGGAAACGTCCGGCCTGCCCCTTCGACTGGCCTGAGGCTGCGACAGGGAGAAACTATTCAGAAGGAAAAGGAATTGAGTATGAGGAATCAGGAGGGCTCCCAACTTCGCGCTTCGCGCTGCGCGAAGCGCGAATAACTTCGCGCTCTCGCGCCGCCCTCCCAAAGGGAGAATAGGAGGACGAGGAGGAGGGGGAGAAGGAACGAGGACCGCGAAGCGCGAAGCGCGAATAACTTCGCGCCCTCGAGGGAGCCATTTGGAAGAGGCTCGCCAAACATCGCGCATCGCGCCCCCGCGGTGCGCGGCGCGCGGGCCTCGTCGCGCCCCCGCGGCGTCCCCCCCGGAGAAGGGCGCCTCTCCGACATCCAACCCAAGCCGCGATGCGCGACGCGCGATTATCTGAGCGCCCCCGCGGGAAACTCAGACGGCCGTCGACCTTCCAGGATCAACGAGGGCACGTTTTGCACTTGTTCTGCGAGTTGTTGGGCAGGGGGCTCCGACGGGATCGGGGGGCGTCTGGGGACCTCCAGGGGACATTCTCCTGGGCGGGAGCTGACCTCACCAGGGAGGAAGGGGGGTAGAGAGGTGAAGGAAGGAGGAGCCCTCGCCGTCGCTGTCGCTGTTGCCGTCGTGATCGTTGTCGTCGTCGTCGTCAGCTGCGTTATTTTGATGGCTCCGAAGAGCGCGCAACTCTCAGTTGTTCCCCGTGAAGCCGAGCTCGACTTCCAAAGGCACGCAGTTGTCTGAGGAAGTGGAGGGGCATCGGCTATGCACAACAGTTAGCGGGCGATGTTTCTCCCCCAATCCCCGAGTTTCGCCCGAAAAGTCTGGCCGCTCAGAAGAATGGGAAAACCCTGGGATACACCCCAAGGGGGCTATTCGGACGCACCCCTATCGAGAATGGACACCCCCCCATCGTATATCCCAGGGTTAGGCCCCAAATTTCTGGTCCATTCGGAAACCCCACGAAGCCTGGGATAGGGGTCGGCATATCCCCTGTTAACAGTCACCTGGGAAAAGGATGACCCTCCGTGCGCGGCCTGCCGATCGCTGCGCGCGAGGCGACGGCAGCAGAAGGCGTGACTCGGCTGGCCGCCCCCCCCCTCCAGCACCCGAGATCCGGGCTCCACAGGCCACTCCGTCGAAGGGCCCTCCGGCGGTGAGGTCATAACTTTAGGTCGGGCCTGTCTCGGGTCGGCGGCCGCCTCTCGGGACGACCTGGGGGCACCTCCGGAGAGCTCTCGGCGAGGCGCGCTCTGCCGGGGCGCACGCCCGAGGCAGGGAAGCAGCCTCCGGCTCGCCACCGCTCAGGCGCCCACTCCCCGCGCACCCTGCCGATCTCGTGCGCGTCTTGCTCTGCTCGAGCATCCAGGGGGGGGGGACTCCTCGATGGTCTCCGCCGACCAAAGGACAAAAGTTTTCACGTCCGAGCGATGCCGAGCCAGCCCTGATGGTCCGCTACCGAAAATTTCCGGTAGCGCTCCGCAGAGATCGGTCGCTACCGAAATACCGAAATGTTGCGCCCAATACCGGTATCAGAGCGTTCTGAAATCCGCTATTTCAACGTGCTCAAACGAAGATCCGGTCGCTACCGAAATTCGGGGTGCGTCGAAATCGCTACCGAAAATTTCCGGTACCAGACCATCTGGGAGGCACCGAGGAGGACTCGCTGCTGGGGCCTGCCACCCCCCCCGCTCCGGCGCGCCCGCCGCCCCTCCCGGTGGGCGGCCGGAGGGCGCGGCGCAGGAAGGCGGGTCGAGCCGGCGGGCCCGGAGGCGCAGGAGGAGGAGGAGGAGGAGGAGGAGGAGGAGGGGGAGGAGGAGGAAGGACAGGAGGAGGGCGAGGAGGAGGGGGGAGGAGGAGGAGGAGAGGAAGGAGGAGGAGGAAGGAGGAGAGGAGGAGGAGGAGGGAGGAGGGGGAGGAGGGGAGGAGAGGAGGAGGAGGAGGAGGAGGAGGAGGGAGGAGGAGGAGGAGGAGGAGGGAGGAGAGGAGGAGAGGAGAGAGAGGAGGAGGAGGAGGAGGAGGAGGAGGAGGGAGGGAGAGGAGAGGAGGCGCGGAGGGGGAGGAGGAGGGGGGGGGGAGGCGACGCATCGGGCGCCCCGGCCGTCCCAGAGCGCCCGGGAACGCTCTAAGAGCGTCTTGGGAACGCTCTGAGGCATGCCTGACCCTGATAGGGGCCGAAGAACGGTATCAAGCGAACTGCTTCGCGGTCGGGGACGCCTGTGCCAGGGCGGATGGACAGTTGTTTTGGTGTGCACTCTGAACGATTTTTGCTGAGACATCGGATGTGCACGCTAAACATGCTTGTCTCAGCCATCGGGAGTGCGCGCTAAACGCTGCACAACCGCGTATAGGAGTGCACCCTCCTACGACGTGTACTCTATACGACCCCCGGATAGCGTTCACATCAAAGTCACCACGTGCACGCTATATGTGGCGATTTGACCGTACCCCTACGCGGCACTGTAGGAATTATAAACTGTCCGGCCGCCCAAGGGGCAGGCGTCCCCGACGGCGGAAACGTATATGTGTACCGTTCTTCACCTTCCAAGACCCTGCTCTTCCTCCTCGCTCTTGCGCGCTCCCCCCTCCTCCTGCTCCTCCCTTCCCCCCAGCTCCTGCAAGTGATCCTTCTCCGCCTCGCCTCCCCCACCGCCTCCTTCTTCTCCCCTCCCCCTTAGCCTCCGCCTCCTCCCACCTCCTCGACGCCGCCTTGTTATTGAGCACGTCGGTGTTCCCTTCGGGGGCGATCTTCGCCACACCCACGCCGGGACCTCCGCGCGCCGCGGCCGCCGGCGCCACCGGCGGGGGCTCAGGAGCCTCCCCTGTTCTCCACCACCGCTGCTGTCGCTGCGCTTCCTTCGGTTCCCCCCGCTCCCTCCCGCACCTCGTCCTCCTGCTCCAGGTCCTCTCTGCCCCTCCTCCGTCTGCCTCCTCCTCCTCCTCCTCCTCCTCCTCCTCCAGACTACTCCCGCTCTTCCGCTCTCAGCTCCTCCTCGCCCTTCCCCTCTCTTCCAGCTCTCCGTTTCCGCCTCCTCGTGCCTTTTCCTGTTTTTTCCTGTCTCTTCGCCCCTCTTCTGTTTCCTGGTCTCCCTCCCGATCCCTCCTTCGGTTTTGTTCGCCGTATCGCGGCAAGAGAAGGAAGAGCAGGGGCGGGACCATCTTACGTCAGGGTCCGAGGCGACAGCCTCCTTCTGCCTGCAAGCAGCCTGTACACGGCCGCAGGCCAAGCGGGCCGCCGCGGCGGCAGAAACTGCCAACGCGGGGCGCAACAGCTGATCGCTCCGCTCCGCATTCGAAGAGTCTGGTGCACGGGCGCTAACAGTTGCCGCTGACACTCGCGAGCAGCCTCGGGGGCGAACCAGCCGCCCTGAAGCCCTACACCCGCTCTCGAGGCAACCAGCACGCTGCTTCCTGCCCTTCCGAGAGGAGTGCGTTCCCACGGCAGCTGCCCGAAGAACGCAGCGCGAAACTTCTGCGGAAAGCAACGCAACTCACGGCTCTGGCTGGGTCCCGGCCCCTGCTAGTACTGGTGCCGCTGCACCAACCATTCTCAGGTGGCACGGGTATACAAGAGATCCTGCCGATTTGGGAAGTGACTGACCATGCCTTGGCCGAGCGAGTAGCGAACCGACCCCGACAAAACGCGACTACAACAATTCCCGCGTGAGACGAGCCGAGTCCGGCGACACCACAGAAGCCCCTTCCCAAGTTCAGAGCCCCTTCGGAGAGGATGCTCCCTCTTGTTGCCTCCGCAGACAATGCCGCGGGCGCAAGCTGGTCACGTCGCCGGAGAGAGCAGCGGAGAAAATTTCCACTCCCCCTCCTCCTCCTCCTCCTCCTCCTCCTCCTCCTCCTCCTCCTCTTTTTTCCTCCTCCTCATCCTCCTTTTTCCTCCATCTTTCTCATCTTCCTCCTCCTCCTCCTCCTCCTCCTCCTGCGATCAAGGGCGACGGGCAGGGGCGTGGTTGGGGTTTCTGGGGGCGAGGCTGTCGATGTCGAGCGCGCTTGATGGCGGAGGAGGGGGAGACGGGAGAGGACAGATAGAAAGAGCAGTGAGGGATGAGCAGGACCAGGGCTGGGTGGGCGCGAATTCATGGGGGGCGAGAAGTGTGGGGGGAAGAAAAGTGCCCGCTTCAGGCCGTAAAGGGTACCCTGGAGGCCATACAAAGGGGCCCCTGAGGGGCCCTGCAGGGCGTCTTTTTTGCAGCCCTCGCTGTCCCCCCATGCAGCGTCCCCCCACGACGCGGCAGCCACCGGGATCGAGTCGATCAGGATCCGGTGGGGCCGGGCAGGGTCTATGGGCAGGGCAAAGCAAGACAACCCAGAGGCACCGGCTGTACTCTACCGTGCCAATGCACTGAACACTTCTGCTCGGCAATCTCCCACTAAGAATTTGAAGCCCCGCTTCGCTGAGAATCTCAACCATCTTGGAATCTTAACCCTCCTGCAAGAATCAGCTTTGGAAGCGCAGAGTTTCTTGACGCAGCACGGCGCCTGCATTGGTGCTTGAGACGAGGATTGCGCTGGTGATTGTGTCCGTGGCGGTGCCAGGGTGAGGGCTCAAGCTGAATGCTGTGTCCTGTGTTTGATTTCCCTTTTACGAGAATGAAGTTTGAACCGCTGCACAATGCGTTGGCGGGTGAAGATTTCGGTATATGTTTTAACAGTGAGAGCCCAACGTGCAGATTTGAGCCACGATTTAGGTGACAAGTTAAGCTGGTGCTCCATCCTGCTCTGCTCAACTCGACATGCAGAGAAGGGATTGATGATACATGGGGGGATGGACGAGGGGGCAGGAGGAGAAAAGCGCAGAGAGGAGGAAGGATGCGAGAGCATGCTTTGCTTCGCTGTGGATGATGCTTGAGGGGTAGAGGATGGAGAAGGAGCAGAGGCAGGGAGGGGTTTGGCTTCGCTTGGCTTGGGCCTAAATGCAATCAACAACAAACACTAGCCGCCCTCGTCCGACCTCACCTCAAGGCCGGGGTCTTCTGAGGCGGCCGACGCCCGCTGGATCGGTTGTCGACCCATCGCGGGCACTCGCCGGCGGTCCTCGACCGTCAGTCCAGAAGCTTTATTAAACACTTCGTCCCGCCCACCCACCTCCCCCCGCCCCGAAGTCGAGCGAGACAGGGCGGCGTCGCTGGAGGGAGCCGACGCCGCGCCAACTTGCACTTGCATGCTCCCCCTGGCCGCTGGCAACACCTCGCGTGGGCGGGAAAGAAGTGAATGCTCAACCCCTGCTCTGCAACGGGAGAAATCACCATTGCAAATTCGTCGCAACTGATCCTGGGTGCCTTTACCCACGCGGCCAAAACACCCTTCAGGAATCGACGCCGTCACTTTACTGTCCGAGCTCACAGCCCCCACTGCAAAAACAGAAGAGGATACACTTGACCTTGGGACTCGCGCCGTCTATCCCAGCCTGCAGCAGCAGGTGCTGCCTTCACGTGAAACTCATTCGAGAAAACTCCTCCCATCCAGGCCCCACACTCAAATCCAAACCCTCCACCCCAAGAGCTCCGGGATCCTCGGACGGCTCCTGGTCGGGCTCAAGGTCGGGGCTGGCGGGGCCGTCGGCAGGAGGAGGAGGAGGAGGAGGAGAAGCCTGGCTCTGGCGCTGGGCGAAATATAACTCCATGATCCTCGTGGTCCTGCCCATCCGCCTGAATGTGCGCCTCCGCGGCCCAAGCGGCCGCCTCGCGCACGCACCCGGTCCAGCCTCGCCAACACTCATGAACAGTTTGCCCAAGGCCGTGTGCTGCCGACACTCTGCGTACTCGTCGGCTGCTTTGCTAGCTCGCTGTCTTGACTCCGTGATGGGCCCCGAGTCTATGTCCAGCGTGCGTGCAGTGGGCTTTCGTTTTGTGCATGCTGATGTCCGATGACTGGAACGATGCCCAAAACTTGCCCCGAAAACGGGCACGCTGATCCCCCCCGCCAAACAATGCCGTCTGTGCCAGCTCAGTCAGTGTAGACAGCGAAGGGAGGCAGATATACTCGCGTCAACACGTGAATCGCATAGTCTTCGGCGTCTCTCGCCGTTTGTCGAGGAGCGGCCGCAGTCGGGACAGGCCCATACGCTCCGGCCTCGACTCGGCCCGACCTTTATGCCTGGACTGCTGCCCAGCTCGCACCGACCAGGTGGGGGGCATTCCGCCCACATGGACAAGCTATCTGTGGACAAAGACCCAGGCAACAGGCCCAGCTTAGGATTGTTGTGCCACCAGATGGTCTGCTCGGGCTCGTCGGGGGCCCCCAGCAGCTCCACTGGGCTCGGGAAGGGCCCCCGCGCGAACCTCTCCCCCATCTCGATGCCCCAGTCCTTGACCTTGACATCACGAGTCCTCAGAGCAGGGCAGCGGTCAGCCCTGTGCCATCAGGACGCATATGGCCGCAGTGCAGGCTGTACGAGACGGCGCCAGGCCGTGCTCGTACAGCCTGCACTGCGGCCAGTGGCCCCCACAGATGAGCGACCTTACGGACCTCTGGTGCATTTTCGTCTAGACCTTAGCCGTCGACGCTCGACGCAAGAGGGCCCCAACGCGTTCCTGAACACCGGCTTGCAACAGGGCGCAAGGGGCTCCCGTGACGCAAGAGCTTGACAATCAGATGCTCGAAGTGCACCTTCCTCGGCGAGAGCCTTGATGAGTGCTCGGGGCAGCCTTCTCAGCTCCAGCTTCCGGTCCTGTTTCGTGACAAGGGCATCGCAAGATTCAAGCCGCCAGCCCATCCTTTGCAGACTTGAACTGGCCACGTCAGCTGGCGCAGCCGCGGCCGCCCATGGGGCCTTCAAATTCGACATCCCAGTCGTCGCTCCCTCCGGGCATGTCTGGAACACGCCAGGCTTCGGGAAGGCTCTCCAGACCGCCTGCGCCCACTGGACACAGACCTGGCCGACCTGCAAGATGAGCGGGTCGGCCCTGGGGCCCTCCTTGTGGCCGTGGAGCCTCAATCCTATCGGGATGCCCTTCGAGACCCTGCCCAAGACTGCCCAGGGCTGCAAGCAGAAGCGCCTGCTTCCTCCACGGCGGATCCCTGCAATGGAGCCACAGAGGACCGAGGCCGTTGTGCCCGCCCCCAGGACCGAGACGGTGTCGGCCCCAGCCCTTCCCACCTGGACCTGGTGATCCCGACCGAGGCACCTTCCCCTGGACGTCTGTTGTTCCCATCGTACTTAAAGACCACATCCCAAAAATGATTTCGAGCACCCGGAAAAGTGTCGAAACAGTGTCGAGGGAGTGTCTCCCAGGGCCCGACACGTGAACACTATCGAGTTTCGGTACTCTTCTGGTGCTCGAAATTCTTCTTCGTGAGCAAGGCTCAAGCAGGTTGGAACATCATAGCCCTGGACCTGGCGATCCCGACGCGAGGCAGGGAGGGGTCTGGGGGAGCGCAGGGGAAGGCAGGACGAGGAGGGGCGACGACGACGCGACGAGGAGGTGGAGGCGCAGGAGCCCCTCCCCCCCCCTGGCAGTGCCGAGAGGGAGGTCGCCACCGGGGGCGGGGGGCCGCCGCCTCCTCCGACCCCCCCCCCCCCCGCGAACTCCCCCCAAAGCCCCCGAAGACGCCCACATATTTTTCCAATGCCAGCGCAAGAGGGGCCCAATGGCAGAGGAGGGAGGGACGAGGAGGGGCGGGTGGGGGACGCGAGCGCCCGCGCGCGCCCGCCGCCAGCCGGGGCCCGCGCAGCCCGCAGCAGGCAGGTGGCATGGTAAGACGCCCACACAACGCCCCAAACCTCCTCGATCCTCGACCCTCCCCTCCCAGATCCCGATTTCCAGGAAGCGATGGCCCCACCTGCTCGGCACTGCCCCACCCCGCCCCCGCGGAGGACGATTCGGGAAGTCCGCCGGCGTGAGGCCGAGCGGCTTCGGGATGGTCACGGTGAAGACCGCCCGTTCTCCTCGATGAGGACAAGGTCGGGGGGAGGGGGCGAGGAGGAGGGGCAGCAGAGAAGGAGAGAGGAGGGGGGAGGAAGAGGACGGGGGTGACTTGTGCTTTCGTTCTCCGCGGCGCGCGCACACTCTGGCGTCTTGGCTCCGTCTGTCGGGACAGCATGCAGGCGTCCGTGACGGAAGGCCACAGCGTGAAAAGAGGGCAGACGCAGAATGGACGAAGAGACGGGTGGGCGATGTTAAGGAGGGAGCGAGACGGAAAAAAGGGAGGGGGACAGGAGAGGAGGTGGACGACGAAAGACAATAGCAAACCCAGGGTGCATCAGCAAATCTTCAACACATATGGCCGACCCCAGACGAGATACGCGCGCGTCTGCCTGTGAAATTCAAAGGAGCGGCCAGCGATAATCAAGTTCGAAGGCACAATGCATGTGCAAAAAGGAGCAGCACGACTGTCCCACGTTGAACAAGGGCCGCACCTCGTCTGTGTACGCAGGTGCTGCCCCACTTTCCATGCTGGCCCTCACATGTCAGGAAGTATGACGCGAAAGCCCCATTTTGAAAATGAGCCGCCCTAAACACTCATAGCATTTACTCAGATCGCCGGCGGTTGGTCCTGTCCCCCCCTTTCCTTTCTGCCTCCCCATTTCAGCTACGGGCCTGCCGCCTCCTCCCTCCCGCCTCCCCCCTTCTCCCTCTACTGCTTCTCCTCCTCCTCTTCCTACTCCTCCTCCATCTCCCAACCCCCTTCCCCCCCTCCTCCTCCTCCTCCTCCTCCTCCTTCTCCTCCTCCTCCTCCTCCTCCTCCGCCTCCGCCTCCTCCTCCTCCTCCTCCCCCTCCACCCCCCCCCTCCTGCTTCTCCTCCTGCTTTCTCCTGCTCCTACAGGCCTGTTGCCTCCATCCCACCCTCTCCTCCACCCCCTTCCTCCCTCCGTGGAGGAGGAGGAGGAGGAGGAGGAGGAGGAGGAGGAGGAGGAGGAGGAGGAGGATAGACAACGAGGGATGAAGGAAGGCGGAGGCGGGAGGAAGGAGGCGGAGACGCATCATGGGGACGAAGACGAGGACGAGGGCACGAGAAGTACTCTCCTGCCCTGCACGCCTCCCCCCCTCTCCTTTGACCATCTTCACGCGCGAGAACCACTCCTCGCCGCGGGCGCATCATGACGGAACCCGCGTGTGCATGAGAGAGAGAGAGAGAGAGCGTATGCGTGCGTGTGTGTGTGTGTGTGAGTGTGTGTGTGTGAGAGAGAGCGTATGCGTATGCGTGCGTGTGTTTGTATGCGTGTGTGTTAGTGAGAGAGAGAGAGAGAGCGTATGCGCGCGTATGCGCATGCGTGTATGTATGTATGTATGTATGCATGCATGCATGCATGCATGTATGTATGTATGCATGCATGCATGCATGCATGCATGCATGCATGCATGCATGCATGCACGCACGCACGCACGTACGTATGTGTGTGTGTGTGTGTGTGTGTGTGTGTGTGTGGGTGGTGCGTGCGTGCGTGCGTGCGTGCGTGCGTGCGTGCGTGCGTGCGTGCGTGCGTGCGTGCGTCGTGCGTGCGTGCGTGCGTGCGTGCGTGCGTGCGTGCGTGCGTGCGTGCGTGCGTGCGTGCGTGCGTCGGCGCGCGCGCGAGTGTGTGTGTGTGTGTGTGTGTGTGCGCGCGCGGGCGGGCGGGCGGGCGGGCGGGCGGGCGGGCGTGCGTGCGTGCGTGCGTGCGTGTATGTGAGGTGGGGCAGCGCAGGGTGGGGCGGGGTGGTAGGGGGCCCTCCTTTGCCTCCTGCTCGTCCCCCAGGCGCCGTCAGGAGCCAGGGCGGCGGATAGGGGGGACTCATCAAACGCACGTGGAGGGGAAGGACAAGAGGGCCGATTTGGGGAAAGAGAAAGACAGCCAGGGGAAAACACATAGAGAAGGCCCACACGGAGTGCAATTGTGTGTTGTTAAGGAGAGAGCACGAGGGATACACCACACATGCATGCATATACATATGCTGCACATAAGAACCACCTAGAACTACACGTTCATCTGAAACTCTATATACATATATATATATGTATATATGTATATATATATATATATATATATATACATATATATATATATAAGATTTACACATATCGAGCGAGAGACAAGTGTGTATATACATATTTATAGAGAGAGAGAACGAGAGAGAAATCCGCCGGCCCCCTTGTGGGGCCACCAGGCTGTAGGGCTAAGCTTCGCAGTTTCCTGTGCCAGTTGCAGCTTCCAGTTTCCACAGTTACAGTTCTGCTTCTTGCTGCTTACTGTTCCTTGTCGACTTCTTGCTGCTTGCTGTTCCTTGTTGATGGACCGCGCGAGGGTGGGAGGCCCAAAACGCGCATTTTTACCACGCCCTGGGAGGGTTCTCAGAACTTCTGGGAAGGTAAAAATTGACACCCCTCGCGCAGATCGGCGGGGTCAGGGTCCAAGAAACACATGGGATTTGCCACATTTCTGAAATTCGGCGGCACCCCTCACGCAGATCGGCGGGGTCAGGGTCCAAAAACATACGGGATTTGCCACATTTCTGCAATTCGGCGGCACCCCTCAAGCAGATCGGCGGGGTCAGGGTCCAACAACCTACGGGATTTGCCACATTTCTGAAATCCGGCGGCACCCCTCACGCAGATCCGTAGGGTCAGGGTCCAAAAACACATTGGATTTGCCACATTTCTGAAGTTCGGCGTCGAAAAACAAACAGGTCCCGACACTGCTTCACGGCGGCGCCCAGGCCTCATGATTTAGCTTTTGCATCTCCCATTATCCGAGAGAGGCAGGAGAGCCCAGGATCGGATCGACAAGTCGGATCGGCGATCGAAATGAATCGGATCGGCGGAAATCGGCAGCCGAGTCGGGAAAAGTCGGATCGGCGGAAATCGGCAGGCTAGTCTGCCTCCCATAAGAAATCGGAACTCAAATCGGAATCCCAGATCGAATCGAATCGGAATCGGAAACCATCGAAATCGAATCGAATCGAATCGGAGGAATCGAAACGAGCCCTGGAGAGGGGGCCGGCGGCAGGGGGCGAAGCCCTTACGGATAAAAAGGAGGAGAGAGCGAGAGAGCGCAACGCCTCGGGCCAGGCCTGGTCGGCAGGCGGGGGGCTGCCAACGCCCCCTGCCCGCGCCTCCTTGGCCGGGGGAGGGGCCACGAGCGCTCTTGGGGGCCTCTTGGGGGTAGTTTGTGGGCCTCTTGGGAAGCTCTTAGGGGCCGCTTGGAAGCCTCGTGGGGGCCTCTTGGGGCTTCCTGGGGGTCTCTTGGAGGGGGCCTGGGACGTCTTGGAGGCTTCGTGGACGGTCTTGGGGCTATCTTGGGCGTTTGCGGCCGATCTTTGGGCGATTCGGGGCCCTCTTGGGCCGTCTCGGTGCGAGGCCCCTCCCCCGGCCAAGGAGGCGCGCTAGACTACGGCTGTAACGCAGAGCGGGTCGCGGCGAGCCAGGCGTGGCACGCCCGATCTGCGTGCCCGTGGCGGAGAGAGCCCCGGGCGCATCACGTCTTGGCATGCGTGCCTCCAAACCCCCTGCAGGAAGGGCGCCGCGGAGGAGCGCCGCAACCCAGAGCGTGGACCGCGGAGCGTGTTGCAAGATCTCACGCGGGACGCAAGAAGAAGGACAGGGGCTGTTGCGCTGGCGGTGAGCGTCGCGTCGCGCCTGGACGACCTGGTGGAGGGGGCGCCAGGGGGAAAGAGTCGGGGGAGGCGCCGCGCGAATGGCTTCCCATGCGGACCGGGCTCGTTGGAAGCGTGCGAGGAGGGGGCGCGCCTGTTCCTGGAGGCGACGCAACGTGTAACGGGGCGTGGCACGCTCCTGGAGCGCGGAGATGCAAGTGTGGATGTCATGATGGGCCGATTGTCCACCACAACCATAGGTAGGACGGGGGAGAAGGGAGGATGAGGATGTCCTCCTGCTCCTCCTCCTCCTCCTCCTCCTCCTCCTCCTCCTCCTCCTCCTCCTCCTCCTATGGTAGTGGTGGTGGAGAATCGGCCCACCATGTCAGTCTCGCGGGCGGTCTGTTGGTCCGCAACGCAACCATCGGTGATGGCGCTACGCCGCTCCGGGGGGACCAGCTGCCCTCTGGTGGGGCTCCCGCACTCCCTGATTTTGGAAGGGAGGGATCGCGGTTGAGGCTGCCGTTCCCGTGTAATTATGGGAAGGGGTGTTGCCCTGGTGGCCCGGGGCGCACTTGGAGGCGCTGGGCGTTCGGCAGGACTGGCCCGTGCGGTCGGCAGGACTGGCCGGTGCGGCGGCTCGTGCTTCTGCACTGCGGCGGCGCGCCAGGGGCGCTGCGGTGCCCGCCGTTGGCGATGGGCTCGAGCTGCTCCCGCTGCCACCTCTGGTCCAGGTCCTTTTCCCGCCTCTGGCGGGGCCCGTGCGACTGCCACTGCGGTGAAGGATCGCTGCTCGTGGGCGGGCGTGGGGGCCCCCGTGGGCCGGCGCCGGGTGGCCAGTCTGGGACGGGCCCTGCAGACCGTGGGGGGGTAGGTAGCCCAGGCCACGCTGGCGGCGAGGTTGGCGGACGGTGGTGCTGGGAACCTGGTGCTGCGACGCCGAACTCGCGCAGGACAAATGGTAGGACATCGCGAACCACACTTTTCGACACCTCAGATGCACGTGTGTATCGAGTAAAGACGCTGCGGTGATTTGTAGGGAACTTCGAACCGCGTTTCACTACAATTGGGTTGGCAACGGGCCAACCCCACATACAATGCCGCAACCTGCATCGCCGTTACCTTCGCCGTTAGCGTGTCTACGGGGTAGGGTGGACGGGGCCAGACCCAGGGAGCAATGGCATGCTCGTGATGGCCAGGTGGCAGGAGGCCTGGCGGCTGAGAAAAATGACCACCTGCCTCGCTGTGGTGTGAGGGGCCACCGGGACCGGTGGGACCTTCGTCGTTCCAATTGTACGCGTCGGCTTCTCCAGGGGGTGCGGATTGTCCGTGGACCAATGCGTGGGAAACACATGTTACATCGTCGCTGTAAATGTCCAGGGCACCAACGAAACCGACCGGGTCTTCTTAGTCGCCGTCGAGCTCGCCAAGGAAGCGGCCGCAGGGGCCGTCGAGGTCGTCGAAGTCATCGGGCCCTGGTGGGCCCAGGGGTCCTGTGGGACGGGGCCCTGGTGGGTGTCCCCGGTGTCGCCGTATAAGAGATTGGTGGGCTGGCCTCCATGCGGTGGAGTTCGCTCTGCGCGTACCCGGCCCGTCGGCCAGGGAGGGGCAGAGTGCGGTGGCGGCTGCGACATCTCGCAGCAGCTGGTGGAGGCGCGCTCCATCCGTGGCAAGTTCGTCGGTGTGTTGGTTGAAGGCTTCAGCCGTTGGCGGTATTGGACCGTCATGCATCCCATGTTCACCGAGGTGGCTTTCAACCTTTCCCAGCCTGAATGCAGTCGGACCTAGGCCAGAAGAACATCCCTCAAGAACATGAGACCCTCCGTCGGCCAAAACAAACAGAACATCAAAGGGTACCCTCCCCACGATGCACAAGAGCATCCAACAAACACGAAAAACACTAGGACATCCTCCCCGAACCGACCTCGATCTCATATCTCGGTCCGACAGTAGGTCTGGTTTGGCCTTCACAACGCAGTGGATGCTCCGCCAGGGGTCGGCCTGAGAGCCTGTGACTGGGGGAGGGTGGTCGGCCAGCAGGGCTTCGAACTCGTCGACGACGCCTTGGCTGCCGATGAATCTGTGCACAGCGCGGTCGGCCGTGGCGTCCAGGCGGAGCAGGGCCGGGGTCTCCGCACGCTGGGCTTACGGGGCCAGGCAGTGGGCCTGGGCCGAATAGTTCAGGCGGTGGTGAGAGCCGTGGTAGACGCCATGCCCCGCCTGGGCCAGGAGAGGGTGCGCCTGGTGAGAGCGAGCTCCGTCGGTGGCCGCGTGCACCTATCGCCACCCGGCGGTACCGTCGGTGCATTCTTCGTAGGCGTCGACGTCTTCGGCGGCAGGCGCCGGTCGTGGGGTGGGCTGCATGCAGCAAGGGGTCGCGAGCCAGCTCAGCGTGGAGGTCGAGAAGGCGGGTTCCTCTCTGATGAAGCCGCAGTGGCGTGCGTGGGGCGACAGGTCTAGCCATTGTTAGAGATAGAGAGAGAGGGAGAAAGGAAAAACACAATACATCTGCAAATGCATACATATTTATATATACAGCAGAGAGCGATACATATATGTAATTAATATATATATATATATATATATATATAATACATATATATATAGAGAGAGAGAGAGAGAAGAGAGAGAGAGAGAGAGAGAGAGAGAGATATAGAGTTAGAGAGAGGGAGAGAACCAACAAAAAAGTAGCGGGGCCCCCAAGAGGCTCCAAGAGGCCACCTATAGGCCCCCAGGAAGCCCCAAGACACTCCCAAGAGAGTCACAAGAGGCCTCCAAGATGCTCCCAATGGCCCCCCAAACTGCCCCCCACAGGCCTCCGAGAGCGCTCCGGAGAGACCCCAAACATAATCCCTGAGGACTCTGACCCACGTCAGCGTCGTCGTCGTCGTCGTCCCCCTTCAGGGTCGGCGGCGCCGGCCGTAAGGCCTTCGCAAAACATACAAATATATACAGAGAGGGAGAGAGAGAGATAGCGATAAAGAAAGAGAGAGAGAGAGAGAGAGAGAGAGAGAGAGAGAGAGAGAAAGAGAGAGAGAGAGAGAGAGAGCGGGGGGGGGAGAGAAGGCGGAGGGGCGGCGGACGGGAATGGGGAAGCGAACGGATGATGAAAGGAGGAGGAGGAGGAGGAGGAGGAGGAGGAGGAGGAGGAGGAGGAGTAGGAGGAGGAGGAGGAGGAGGAGGAGGAGGAGATGATGAGGGGGAAGACTGAAACAGATGCGGTAGGGATATCAGGGGATAGAGAAGGGCAGCTGGGGTGGATGAGAGGAACGGAGTGAGGAGGAGTGACAATTGGGAAAGAAGGAGGGAGAGGGATGGAGGCAGGGATGGACATATTTTTTTGCTGTAGGCCGCTGCTGTGACAAGCTTCCGGAGAGATTGGCAAGGAGGAAAATAAGAAAGTGCATAAAAGCCAGGGAATCACGAAGTCTGGCATTCGCTAAGATAAAAACCCCAGAGTGGACATCATGTCTGCTGCGTCGCAAGGCCCTGCACAATTGGCAGGAAAGCAACATTCGAATTCGCACCTGCTGCCATCAGCCGAGAGGCGACCTCCAAAGCCGGTGCCCTCAGCGACGGCTGCTGCTGCAACTCCGAGAGCACAGCTTCGCCGTCAGCGAAGCGGCCCAGCAAGGCAACGTCAGTGTCGTCCAACTCCTTCGCATCTTGTGAAAAAGCTCCAGACTGGATGTCCGTGGCGAGGTCCTCACGGGAGGCCTCAAACATGGAAGGCATCGCGTCCGGAGGAGCGCCAGAAACCTGCAGCTGCTCCGGACCGGGCTCGGTCACATGCGAACTCACATTTTTCTTATTCTTCTTGCGCCGATTCTTCTTCTTCCTCTTCGGGGCCACCTCCGTAGCGCCAGCAGCCAGAGAGGGTACAGAAGAAGACGAGGAACTATCATCCCACTCGTGATGGACACCGCCACTATGGGCTGACATGTCCAGGACACCGCCACTCTGGGCTGACGTGCCTACACCGAAAGGCGACTCCGAGGCACCGCCACTGACGGTTGACGTGCCAGAGCCGTCAAGCGTGACACCGCCACTAAGGGCTGACATGTCGGGGGCTGCACCTTCACCACCTGCATCGGGAAAGGACCCGTCGCCGATGTAGAAGGTCTTCACCTCCGAGGTGGCGTCCGTGGGATCCTCGTTCCTGCTGGCGGAGTCGGAGGTGACGGCGGCGTGACCGGAGTGACAGGGATGAGAGGATGATCCCTAGCTTTCCAGGGAGAAGGTTTCCAGGAGGAGGGAGGCGAGGACGGGCGGGGTGGGGGAGGAGCATCTGTAGGAGCATGAGAAGGATACGGCGCATGATGATGAGAGGGGCAAGACAGAAAGGAGGAGTATGACGAGAGGTAGGGCACACGGAGGAGGACAGGAGGACAGATAGAGGAGCAGGCAGAGATTGTCAAGCCAAGCATACCCGCGCCACATGCGACATCCGACCCCTCCCTCCCATTCCTTCCCGTTGCGCCGAACCGTGTCTATCCGACCAGCGGGGTGTTCAAGAACACCTTGATCACCGAACGGCAATTGCAGAACTCGGCCACTGTACACGGTGCAAGCGCCGAGGAGGGGCCGTGTGCGCGCTGGAGGAAGAGGAGGAAGGGAATGTGGGAGCAGGGAAGAAGCGGGGGGAGACAAGGGGGGGGACGGCACCGACGAAGAAATTGGATTCAGAACAGTGGCCCGCACTTAGGCGAGGACACCATGCCGAATGACGGAAACAATGCATAGATCCAGAATGAGATCTAGCCACGTCAGCAGCGGGAACACTGTCGTGAAGGACCGAAGGAAGTCCGATGGGATCCATGTGTGCAAGATGGCGCCCTTGGATAATATGTTTGCTGCTCGACTGCGCGGGGGGGGAGGCGGGCGGTTTCAGGGATGCTGAAAGGAAGAGGGGGGCAACACCAGTGCTCATAGTTCATCGGAGGGATCGCGTCTTTGCGGACGTGCATCCAGTTCTCGAGTAGGAGACCGACTACGCATTGATTCGCCCCAGAATTGACAATCCCGTCCAGTCTACAAAACACATACTCCAAATGCTCGTAGATCTACGAGAATCGTACGCATGTGCTTCGTAGGTTCGACTAATACATCAAGTTTGGGACGCATCGGTTCTGCAGCCGATCTCCTCTCGAAGTGCAAGTCGCGCGCGTGCACCGGGCACACACGATGGGGAAATAGACGGGGGGCGATCGAGGGTTGCAAGACACTGGCCCTCGAGGAGCCCCGCGGGCCCTCAAAGAGGTGCTGCTGAAAAAAAGGAGGGGAAAAAAAACAACCCTTTTTGGCGCCAGCACCTCGAAGGTTAGAGGAGCAACCACGGAATGACCTAAAGAACAGCGAGCCCCCTCCGAACCCAAAGCGGTCGTTGTTTCAGCGTCTTGACTGTACACTGGCATCGTGGCCCCACGAGGTGCTGGAAGGGTGCGTGTTTTTCCTCCGTCTGGGTGCCCCAAGTTTTTTCCCTACCTGGGCTCTGCCCAGAAGGGCTCTTACTCTGTAGGCTGAAAGGGGCTGGGCAGTGCACACCGCCCCAGGCGGTTCCCCCAGCCCCCTGGGACCCGAGAAAAAGCAACAGCAAACGTAAAGGCAAACGCGCGGTTCCCCCAGTTGCGCTCCTTGGGTGCCAAGCCAAAGCAAAAGCAAAGGCAACAGTAAAGGCACAAGCGGAGGCAAATCAAAAACATAGCATAGCATAGCATAGCATAGCATAGCGCAGCATAGCATAGCGCAGCATAGCATAGCATAGCATAGCATAGCCTAGTCCGGCATAGCATTGTGCAGCATAGCATAGCATAGCAAATCATAGCATAGCCGAGCAGAGCATAGCAGAGCATAGCGCAGCACAGCATCCACTATTGCTGCTGTCTGTGTGTACGCACGTATGTTCCATGCATGTTGTCCGTCTGTGGGCCATCTTGAGCCCTTAGTGGGGCAGCTTGAGCCCTTAGGATTCACGAAGGTTTCGCACATAGCACCGGCCGGGAGACATGAAACCCGACGTATGCTACAACTACGACGGTGAGGAGGAGGACGACGTTTACCGCTCCTACTAATGTTGCTTTCCTAGAGGCTCCAACTCCTAGGTAGGGTCGCACTGGGATACTTGTTTTCATGTTCGCCTTCTTTTGGCGGCGCGCACAAGGGAGTAGGAGGAGGGGGGAAGGTTTCTTAGAAGGCGGCTGTCTCTCAGAAGGCGACGGCCGCTCTTCCAAGAAGCCAGGGGCGCGCCGCTTCTTAGAGGCACCCCAGCAACTTCTTACAAACCCATAACAGTGTATTAGAAGCAAAAACAGCTTCTCAGAAGCAAGCCACCTGCTTCTTAGAAGCGCGCCAGGAACTGCTTCGAAGACGCAACCCGCCAGCTTCTCAAAAGGGGCACCCGCGCCTTCTCAGATGCGGGGTGCTTCTAAGAAGCCTCCCATCCTTCCCCTGCCCCCCCTCTGCGCGTGGCCGATTCTTCTCTTCTCGTGGCCTCGCCATCGCTTGGACGTCCATTCCGTGTACATTCTTCTGTTTCGTGCGCGCTTCTTTCACAAGTCAAGTCAAGTCACCCCGCTCGCACGAGGGCGGGCCCATATAGGGCGCGAGGGAAAAAAATCAAATGCCAGTCACTATTCAGGCCTGGTGCGCAAAGGAAGCATCGCGCCTGCTCACGTCGACGTGCAGAAGTCCAGGAAGTCTTCTGTCATTTCCACCCACGCTGAGTAATATTGTGCAGCTTCTTGCCACGGTCCGATGTGGTTCGGTTGGCAGAACGAGGATAGCTTCGCGTCCCATGACAGAAGAGGGCGACCCTGTGAGCGTGATCCCGACGGCGTCCAACGCAAGGCTCTCTGCACCCACCGATCAGGAGGTAAACCCGCAGAGTACGCTGCCAGATCCCAATACTTTTGTCATGGACTCTCTCGACCACGTGCGAAGACCATGTTCCGCCAATGCTTGGCTGAACTTTTCGTGCCATAGGTGCAGAGTCTCACGCCACGGTTGGGACCAACCCACGCCTGCAAGCGGGCCAACGACCTGCCGCATCAGACGCCGGAGTGCAACGTCTACCCCGTGCAGTGAACCGCTGTACGGCTTCCAGACACCAGCTCCGAAACACGCCACTGACGTCACGACGCGGTTGAAAAAAAACTCAAGCCGGGCAGCGAGAGAAACATTCCGGTCGCATAGACTGTCCCTGTTTGCAAAGAAAGCTTTGCTTGCGGATGTCAGATGATACTCCACGTCCAAATTGTGCGTTCCAGAACCACTCACGGACAGCATGCATCCCAACCACTTGTGGGCGGTACTCCTGGGGAGGACTTGGATTGTTGCGCCGGCCCGCGTGGTAATTTGTTGTGGAGGTTTCGCCTCTGTTGTCATCACCACCGTCTTGGCCGCATTCAGAACCAACCCAACTTTGGTCAATTCGTCGACCAATGCGTCCAGCTGCAATTTGGCCTCGCCCGCTAATTTGGCAAACAATAAGATGTCATCGGCAAAGCGTAAGTCTATGAGCGGCCTCAAACCGTCGCCCAAATCAAACCCAAGATGCGAAATGCGAGCTCTCCACGCACGCATGGCCCACTCCAAGACAGCTGTGGAAAGACCCGGGCTGAGCACGCACCCTTGGCGAACGCCAGCATTGATCGGAAATGCCTGGCTTCTGGCCCAATCGCCCAAGACAAAACATGTTCCTCGATGGCCCTTGCCGATAAAAAGTGCACACGTCCGAGCGATACCGAGTGGCGGGCCAGGGGGGGAAGGGGGGAGCACGGGCGGCCGGGCAGGGCCGGGTCCCCCTGCGGGAGGAGGTGTGGGGGCCGTCGCCGCGGGGCCCGGCGGTGGCGCCAGCCGGCTGTGGGGGCGCAGACACGCCCGAGAGGAGACAGAGCGCAACCAGAGGCGGGTTCCCGATGTCGATTGCAGGGCTGAACCTAAGCGTTGTTGTTCGTCTTGTGTTCGTTATCCTGTTCGTTTTGCTCTACCTGTTCTCCTGCACCTCCCTGCCAACACGGAAAAACAAGACACAGCCGAAGTCCTGCAAAACAGCGTTTAGGTCCAGCCCTGGTTGATTGACATTTGCGCTGCGGGATGCATGGGCAGTGGGTAACTGCGGAGTGGAGGACGAGGAAGTCGGAGAGGAAGAGAAGCAGAGGACGTGCGAAAACTGAGAAGAGGATGATGGTATCGATAAAATGCAGGTAAGGCGGCACCAGAGCAGAGCATGAACGCTAAAGAGCATACCTGGCTGCAGCTGATCCGGTGGGACCCTCGCGGCGTTGCCCTGTGCTGCTTTCGCCGCCCGCTGGGACGGCGTTACGAGAGAAAGGTTGCGCCCTCTGGACGGTGCAGATCTGTCGGTTCAATGGAGGGCCGCAGCCTGTACGCAAAAGGATTACCACGTCAAGTCGGCAACTTTGCCCTCGCGGATCCGGCATCAGAGGCCAAGATCATCTTACTTACTAACGACCCTTGACGCCCTGGCCAAGGCTGCGGCGCCGATGCTCGGCACGGGCACGCGTGCTGCGCACATGCTCGCGCTCGCGCTGCGCATGCGCCCAGGTAGAGTATCACAGTGCCGCACGCAATGCACAAGCAACAACCTCTGACGTACGACGCAACCACGGACAAGTCCAACACCGCAGATACATACTTGTTGGCGTCACGGCCACGCGTGCGGCAGCGCGGCGTAACGCAAGGTCAGGCGAAGAGCGGGGCGGGGTCGGGTCAGCTCACGCAGCATGGCGAAGCTGGATCCACCCATAGGGGACCGGACGGCAACACTCGCGAGGTGGCAGTCGCGAGGGGGACGCGAGAAGGGGAAAGGAGGAGGAGCCGATGAGGGGGGAAGCACCGCGTATACATGCGGAGTCCCACGGCGGACTGCATGAGAACCACGGCCATAGCGAGGTTATTTGCTTGCCGTGTTGAGCATGGGACCCGCCGCAGGGGCGGCCCGTCGTGCCCGAAAGAGTTTGATAGATTCACCGTCATCGTTTGGCGCCGTACGCCAGGAGATGGAGGTCGTTGCAACTCCATTGCCGCTTCCAGGTCGTGGCCTGCAGGATGTTGTCAGGCACGGGCTTCTGCCTCGCAACGTTGCCATGCGCCGCAGCGGCCGCATCCGCAGCCTTGGCCAGCTCACCCTTGAACTGGTTGGTATCGTTTCCTTTGGTGCCCAGTTGCCCAGCTCGCGGTCCCTGGTCGAATGCCTGGTCGGTATCTTGCTTGAGTGCGCGCTTCTCTTGGTGGGCTACGCCGTTTGGACTCGGCGCCGGTGACTGCAACCTGAAAAGACTGGAGCACGGAGGCCTCCTTCAAGATCTTGTCTTTCAGCTTCGGCTCGTCGGTCAAATGCTGACGCGGCATTCGATTGACCTCCCTGGTCGCCTCGCACATGTTTCGGCGGCGAACCCAAGAGGGAAATGAGAAAGAGAAGGCCTTCTCGGAAGGCTCGGAAGTCCCCAGGCCTTCTGAGAAGATTTCCTAGCCTTCCCCAGAGACACAGACTCCTTCTCAGAAGGCCCGCGAGCTTCTGAGAAGCCCCGCCGCCTTCAGGGAAGGCCTTCTCCTTCTGACTTCCCCCCCATCGCTCGCCGCCGATTCACGCGCAGACATAAAGGGAAATTAGGACACACAAATAAATACACACAAATAAAAATAGTCCACATATTTTCCCATATTTTCTGGGTTTCTGTCTTCCCCCCCACTTCCCATATTTTCCCATATTTTCTTGGACATCGACGATTAATTGTGTCTGTGTGTTTTTTCCCCTCCTGAAGTTTGCGGACGACCCCGCTGCGCACCTCGGAGAGGCGCGCCCCAAGCGGCTCACCAGCCGGCGCCGCGGAGAGGCGCGCCCTCGGGGGCCCATCACCCCAACTGGTGGGCCTGTTTTCCACCACCACCACCATAAGTTGGAGGGGGAGGGTGCCCTCCTCCTCCTCCTCTTCGTCCTCCTCCTCTTCGTCCTCCTCCTCGTCCTCCTTCTTCCCCCCTCCAACTTATGGTGGTGGTGGTGGAAAACGCTCCCATCACCAACAGCACGTCCAGGCCCGCAGACGTGGTCGGCATGCCGCGGACCGCCTCGGCTGCCAGCGCTGTGCAGCCGCCAGCAGCGCCGCGTGCACTCGCGACCATGACTGCCGCCCGGATTCTGAGCAAGTCCCCGCCGGTCCCCCAGGGCCAGAGCCCCTGGAGGCAACAAGAGGGGGCGAGATGGCAAGAGGAGCTGGAGGAAGAGGGAGAGAGTCGAAGAGGCGGAATCCTTGCTCAAACAGCTGCGCAGGGAGACGAGCATGCGTGACGCCACTCGTCCTTGGGCTACCCATCCTCTTGCCGCCCCCATCAAGTGTACCGACGATCTACGGATTTGGGCAGGAGAGGGAGGAGGAAACTCTTGAAAGGTTCCGCATGTTGGAGGGGAGGGGACGGGGAGGGGCGAACTGTCGGAAGGTCTCGAATGCTTCGTGTAGTGGTGGGACTGGGCTGGCGCGTGTGCCTGCCAAGGGCACACGGCGGCCTGCTCGAAATCTCGGCATCTTTGAACATCGAAGGGCGGGCACCCGGAGAGTACGAGGTTCCATCACCGCGCCCTCTGCGCAAGAGGCCCCCTGGGACCGCCGCCACGCCGACCGGCGGGCCACAATCCTGCAGGATCCACCACGACGGTGATCCCAGGAGGTCCCGACCTCCCAAGGAAAAGAGGCGCACCGCCGCCGGGGGTCAAGGGCAAAAGGCCTCCCCATGGGGGACCGCGCATTGCACGACGGCGGGCTGGACCCAACGGAAGGGGGGGGGGCAATGCAGTGCAACGTGTCCTGTAGTTGGTGGCATCGCTGCGGCGGACTGCCCTTCAGAGACACGGCACCCGCCCGAGTTGGCGCAAGCAAGAGAAAGGGACGACAAAGGAAAGCGGGAGACCCTCATGCGGCGGACAGTCCCGCCAGCGACCCCCGCCTGCCAACCCTCTCCGCCCCGGAGGTCAACAAAGGGCCCTGTGTGTGTTTGTGTGCGGGGATGGCGAGGGGGGAAGGGGAGGCGGCGGACGTTCATTTTGATAGGTGCGGGAAGGCTTCAAGAAGGGGCTATGAGGAGAATAATGAAAGGGACAACAAAAATCAAGGGGAAATAGGAGCCTTCACCCTCCACCCTCTCTTCCTGCTCCGCCCTCTTCTTCTTCCTCCTGCTCCTTCTTCGCCTTCTCCCCGCCTGCTTCTGCTCCTCCACATCTCTCTCCCCCCCAAGTGCGCCCCCCCTCATCATCCTCCACTTCCCCCTCCCCCATTCCCCTCCCCCTCGTATATCACCGCCTGCTCGCCTCCTTCTTCTCCGCCACCGCCTCCCCCAGCTCCTCCTCCTCCTCCAGCTCCTCCTCCTCCTCCTCTTCCTCCTCCTCCCTCCTCCTCCTCCTCCTCCCCTCCTCCCTCCTCCTCCTCCTCCTCCCCCTCCCCCTCCTCCCCCTGGGGCCATGGAGAGGAGGGCGACGACGACGACGACGACGACGACGACGACGACGACGAAGACGACGACGACGGCGGCATGCCAGCGGCGCGCCTCGGGAGTCAGCTCCGTGTACTGCGCCAGCTCGGGCAACTCCCCCTCCTCCTGCAGGCAGGCGCGGAACAGAACACTCCATTCCCCCCCTCTTCTTCCTCTACTCCTCCTATTCCCTCTCTTACTCCTCCCCCTCCTCCACCCTCGTCCCCCCCCGCTGATGTAACTCATCCTCAATGCTTCTCGATACTCCTCAACCTTGTCATCGTCGACGTCGCCCTCCCCCATCTCGTACACCCTCGTCCTCTCCTCGTCCTCCTCCTGCTGATCATCCTCGCGCACCAACCTCATCCGCATCCTGCTTCTCCTGGTCATCCTGGTCATCCTCCCTCTAGGCTCCTCCTTTCCCCACCCCGTCATTCCTCCACTCGTCGTTATCGTGGTTATCGTCGTTCTCGTCGTCGTCGTCGTCGTCGTCGTCGTCGTCGTCGTCATCCTCTGCACTCCTCGCCGTCACTGTGCCCCACCCTCCCTCCTCCTCCTCCTCCTCCTCCTCCTCCTCCTCCTCCTCCTCCTCCTCCGAATCCTCCTCCTCCACCCTTCTCCTCCTCATCCTCCTCCTCCTCCTCCTCCTCTTCCTCCGCCCACCCTCCTCCTCGTCATCCTCCTCCCACCTCCTCCTCGTCGTCCTCCTCCTCCTCCCTCCTCCTCCTCCGCCCCCCTCCTCCTCCTCCTCCTCATCCTCCTCCCCTCCTCCCTCCTCCTCCTCCCTCTCTCCTCCTCCTCCTCCTCCTCCTCCTCTCCTCTCCTCCTCCTCTTCCGCCCCTCCTCCTCCTCCTCCTTCTTCTTCCTCTCCTCCTCCTTCCTCTTCCGCCCACCTCCTCCTTCTTCGCCTCCTCCTCCTCCCCCTTCTCCTCCTCCTCCTCCTCCTCATTCTTCTCTTCCTCCTCCTCTTCCGTCCCCATCCTCCTCCCCCCCCTGCTCCTCCTCCTCCTTCCTCCTCCTCCTCCTCCTTCTCCTCCACCTCCTCCTCCTGTTCCGCCCCCCTCCTCCTCCTCCTCCTCCTCCTCCTCCCTCCTGCTCCTCCTCCATTCCGTAGCATGTTGGCTCAAGCCGCGTTGGCCCTGGATGGTTTGCCAGAGCGTGGCCGCGCGCACCTCCGAGCGGCGATGCGCGGCCGACCGCGTACGCGCCCTGCGGACTCCTCGGCTGTGGGTTCGGCAGGAGCCCAACGCAGCTGATCATCTATGATGATGGCTACCGAGCTGCCCAAGATGCTGGCGTATGGGCTCCTGCCCAAAATGCTAGCACACGTGACGGGCGATATGGTCACAAACATGGCGCTGGATGCGATGATAGTCTTCGGAAAGGGCGACACCTTCAATTTAGACGGCACAAGGAGGTGTCGGATGTGACGAAGGAGGCCCGCTCGACAACACCCAAGCGGCCAAGGACACCGCCGCGCAGGGCGGAGGCTGGCTACACGTAATAATGACCCTAGACTGGAATGACCTTCGGTGCGCGGCTTTCGGTTCGCCTGTGGGGGCCCAACGCAACGCGCAAGCCGCTACCGTCGCATCACATCGACAATCGGCGGGGCGCGCTTGAAACATCCTTAGCGCCAACGGGCAAGCGCGCAATTCCGCCAATTCGATTCGAACGTCCCGAAGGGCACCCCCAAGGCGATGCGAAAATAGACGATGCAAGCGACCACCGCGAGAAGGTCTGGCACTGCCGGGCCGCATCGCGATGACATCTGCCAAAAAAGTGCACGGAGGATGTTTGAATATCTCTGGGCCACTTCCAATCGTAAAGGATCCCGCTGGTCCAGACAGATATTCAGAGATATTCGAACATGTTCGAAGCTATGCAAGCCAGACGAGTTGGGACTTGAGCTGGGATGCGGGACCAATGATGGGGCGGAAAACGCGCCGCCCGGTCGACAGGCCCCCACGTCAGGAAGCCAACGCGCGCTGCAGGATGCGCCGCGTATGCGTTGCGGTCGATTGCGAGGGGGGCCCAACCTTGGGCGCGCGCAGATCGGACGCAACCCCCCACACTGCGGGTGCCGCGCGAGGCCGAGCTCAGCCCCAAAGAGACGCGTCCCGACTCCCTTTGGTCCAGCACCAGAGATCACTACAGCGAAGGGCCACTCGTACGTGCGGTTATGATTGAAGGGGAGCTGGAACACACAAATAAATACACACAAATAAACATATCCCCCATATTTTCCTATATTTTCTGGGTTTTTGTCTTCCCCCCCACTTCCCATATTTTCCTATATTTTCTGGGAATCGCCGATTAATTGTGTCTGTGTGTTTTTTCCCCTCCTGAATGATGGGCGAGTGGCAGGTCATCCCGAGGCCGCCTTTGCCCCCGGCGAGGTTTAGGCTACGAGACATGATCATGGACACGATCCCCGTGGAAGGGGTCCCGAACAGGCAGTGAATGGTCAAGAACGGCCAGTATGTGAACTTTGGCTTCAGGGCGGCCTGCCAGAAGTGCTGAAAAGCTCCCCCCCACACTTCATCACGCGTCAGCAGGCGGAGGCGGTGATGGAAATGGAAGGCCAGAAGATGCACACCAACAAGAACGTCAACGAGGGCCATGTCAGCTGGCCCCAGAAGAGGGACTTCAAGATCAAGGCGATCACGAATATCTCGCCCAATCCTTCACCCCACCTGCACAAGGACGACCGCGTGAGGAAGAAGCGGGGCCGAAGCCTTTCGGATACAGCTCCAAGTTTCCCAAGAAAGAACAGGTGGTCCAGGAAGTGAAGGGCTTCGACGTCGAGGCCGGCACGGAGGAGCTCTACATTGGTGACCCACCTGATGATGATGTTCAGAATAAATGGAACGAGCACAGTAAGGACCGAAAGGACTTCGCTTTCCTCCTCCTCCTCCCACGCCCATCATTCTTCCCCACTTCGCGTCCTCCTTCCCCGCATGTGCTTTACCCCAACGTTCTCTCCACCCCCTCCTCCTCTGCCCCCTCGCCCTCCTCCTCCTCCTAAGTCGTGTTCCTGCTAAGTGGGCTTCTGTTCTGCTAAGTGGGCTCCCGATGTGCTTGATCCTGTTGCCAGCTCCGCCTCCTGCTGCTGGTCCTGTTTTTCTTCTCGTCATCCTCCTCGTCATCCTCCTCCACTTCCTCCTCCTGTCCTCCTCCCCATCCTTCCTCTTGTCACGTCCTACCACTCCCTCCTTCTCTCCTCCTCCTCCTCCTCCTCCTCCTCCCTCTCCTCCTCTTCCTCCTCCTCCTCCTCCTCCTCCTCCTCTTCCTTGTCACCTCCTCCTCCCTCTCCTCCTCTTCCTCCTCCTTCTCCCCCTCCTTCTCCTCCTCCTCCTCCTCCTCCTCCTCTGCCTCGGCGGCCTTCGGCGGCCGTCGTCGTCGGTCGTCGTCGCCGCCGCCGTCGCCGAAAGCGTCCTCTTCCTGCTAAGTGAGCTTCTGGCCTGCTAAATGCGTTTCGTTTGCTTGATCGTGTTGCCAGCCCTGCCTCCTGCTACTGGTGTTGCACAGTGGTTCATGCCAAGTTGCATGGGGAGCTCTGGAAAAAATAACTACACCTCATCCTCCGTGCTCCTCCTTTCCCTCTCTATCTCTATCCCGCATCCCACGCAGTGGAAGCCACTGTCTCATCACATTGCATGGAGTGCCTTTGCGTTGCATTGCATGGCATTGCATTACAACGCATGGCATTGCATTTCTGTTGCGTCACTTCCCATGGCACTGCATATCATTGCGTTGAGAGATCGTCGCAACTCTGGGCTCCGAATTGCCGGGGGCAAGATGGCCTGGCCCATTTCGCCTGATATATCCTCGCAACTCTGGAATCCAAGATGCCACGCGCGAAGTGGTCTGGTCCGTTTCGCCATCTTCGCAATTCTGGGCCCAGATACGCCCCTAACCTGAGTAGGTACAGCCCGCTTCGCCTTAGACATCCTCACGACTCTAGGCTCAGACATGCCGCGCGCGAGGTGATCTGGACAATTCTACTTCAGACATTATCGCCTGAGATGTCCTCCCAACTCTGCGAGATGCCGCGCGCGAGGTGGTCTGGTCAATTTAGCCTGAGACATCTTCGCAACTCTGGGCTCCTAGATGCCGCGCGTGAAGAGGTGCGGCCCGGCTCGCCTGATGATCCTCGCAACTCTGGGCTCATATATGTCCTGGTTTGATGTGGTCCGGCCCATTTCGCTTGAGACATCCTCACAACTCTCGGCTCAGATATACCTTTCGCGAGGTGGTCTGGCCCATTTTCGCCAGTGGCATCCTTGCACCTCTGGGATCGGAAATGCTCTGACCTGAGTTGGTCTGATTCGCCCTGGACATCCTCGCAACTCTTGGCCTAGATATGCCCTGACCTGAGTTGGTCCGGCCCAGGTCGCCCGGGGCATGCCCGCAATTCTGGGATCCGAGTTGCCAGGCGCGAGGTGGTCCAGCCAAACTCGCCTAACACGTCCTCGCAACTCTTGGCTCCGAGAGACCGCGTGCGAAGTGGTCCGGCGGATTTTGCATGCGTCGTCTCTGGGCTGCAAGATGTCGCGCGCGGGCTCAGATTTACTCTGACCTACGCTGGTCCAGCCCGGTCCACCTGATACATCCTTGCAACTCCAGGCTCAGAGATGCCGCGCGCGAGGTGGTCTGGCCGATTTCGCTTGAGACATCCTCGCAACTCTGGTATCAGAATTGAATTGTTGTGGCCTGAGGTGATCTGGCCCGTATCGCCCGAGACATCATCACAACTCTAGGCTCGAAGTTTCGACGCGCAAGGTTGTCCGGTCCAGTTCGCCTGAGACATCCTCGCAACTCTGGGCTCCGAGATGCTCCTGACTTGAGGTGGTCTGGCCAATTTCGTCTGAGACGTCTTCGCAACTCTCGGCTCAGACATGCCGCGCCTGAGGTCGTTTGGCCAATTTCGCTTGATGCGCCCCCGCAACTCCAGGCTCAGAGATGATGCGCTCGAAGTTATCGGGCCAGATTCGCCTGATCCATCCTCGGAACTCTGGGGTCGGGCCAATTTCGCTTCAGACCTCCTCGCAACTCTGGACTCGCTCCGAGATTCAGCGCGCGAGGTAGTCCGGTCAGTTTGCCTGGGACATCCTCACAACTGG